AAAGAAACAGCTATTTCAAAATGTAAGAGACTTCTGGACCCCATCTTCCTATGGGCAGGAAGGTGTTACAAATGTGAACTATTTCTTATGAAAAAAGAAAGATGACTAAGAAAGTAGAACCAAAGTGTAGAGGGTAAAGTTAGGGGCCATAAAGCTATTTCTTTTTTGTTAGGCAGAGTTACAGAGAGAGAAGGAGAGATGGAGAGATGGAGAGATGGAGAGAGAGAGAGAGAGAGAGAGAGAGAGAGAGAGAGAGAGAGAGAATGATATTTCTGGGAGATGGGACTTAGCCCTAATCAAAGAACTGGGACTAAATGTGATGATGGCCTATCTTGACAACTCCCTCTCCCTCTTCTCTTTCTCCCTCTCCTCCTCCTCCCTTCTCCAGAGGACTGTAGAATTTGGTCCTCTGATTCTCAGCTTCTTAAAAAACCAGAGGTTAAACATATCATTTCATTTGTTTAAATCTTACTTCTTTGCAAAAAGTATTTGAGACTGAATACAAAAGAATAATTATTAAATTTTGGAAATTTAAGATCTTAGAAAAGAGGATGAAGCAGTGGGATAATCATAGGGACTTGAAAGAATTTTTCTTAATGAGTCAGAAGTTTTACCATGGGCTTCCCTTGTTTGCATAGTTCTGAGTAGCTGAAAGGAGGAAATGTGTAGCAACAGTTAGTTACTCAGGGGTGATAAAGAAACTTCTGCTATGAGACCTCATAGGGGCTGTCCTGCTCAGGATAGCAACATCCTTGACAACAGGTTCATAACAAATACTGAAACAGTTTCAATAATACCATTGCTGGTAGCTGAAGACTTAACCTTAAAGGCAAAGTCAGTGAAGCTGACCTTTAAGATGATGTTGGATTTGAGTTTATCTGTATAACAAATCTTTTTATCTTTCTAAAGTCGCTCACCCGCCCCCTACCCTGCTTTCCTTTAGAGTTTGGTTTAACATCACAGGGTGGGTGGATGAGTTCTGTGCTACATAATTTTGCTTTTCTTTAGTTAATTGTTTGCTTTTCTTTATTCATTGAGAACCTTAGAACATTTTAAAAATATTTATTTATTTACTTATTTTTAAAATATTTATTTATTTGAAAGGCAGAGTTACAGAGAGGCAGAATCAGAGAGAGAGAGAGAGAGAGAGAGAGAGAGAGAGAGAGAGGTCTTTCATCTGGTGGTTCACTCCCCAAATGGCTGCAACAGCCAGAACTGAGCCAATCCAAAGCCAGGAACCTGGAGCTTCTTCCAGGTCTCCTGTATGCATGCAAGGGCCCAAGACTTGGGCCATCTCCTACTGCTTTCCCAGGCCATAGCAGAGAGCTGGATTGGAAGTGGAGCAGCTGGGACTCAAACCTGCACCCATATGGGATGCCAGCACTGCACACAGCTGCTTTACCCGCTACACTACAGCACCGGCTCCCTTAAAACTTTTTTTTTTAAGATTTATTTATTTATTTGAAAGTCACAGTTATATATGGAGAGGGAGAGAAAGAAAGAGAGCTCTTCCATCTGCTGGTTCAATCCCCAAATGGCTGCAGTGTCCAGTGCTGAGCCAGGCGGAAGCCAGGAGCTAAGAGCTTCATCTGGCTCTCCCATATGGGTGTTAGGGGCTTGGGTACTTAGACCATCTTTTGCTTCTTTTCTCAGGCCATCAGTAGGAAGCTAGATTGGAAGTGGAACAGCTGGGACACGACTATACACTCATATAGGATGCCAGCATGGCAGGTGGTGTCTTTACCTGCTATGTCACAACACTGACCCAAAGAACTTAGGATTTATTTTGAGTTCCTTGGCATCCTTTGGAAGCCCAAGATCTGCCCTCCCTTATTGTGGCTTCTGTTTTCTCTAAAGTGACGTCCTGTTGGTTAATAACAGGTCTACCCATTGGGCAGTTACCCTGGAAGAAGTGTAAGACCAAGACTTGTGTGTTGATATCATTGATTGTGGCCAAGGTGTTATGGGCTAAATTAGACAAAATTTAATATTTCAGATTCTTGATGTTTACCTAGAGGAGAGTTCTGAGCACCAGCTCACATAAGGCATGTGGCGTGATAAGGTTTAGAATTTATTTAGAGGGTAGGAAGAATACACAGGAATGTGAGGGCTTTATTAAGGGAGAGTGGGCCAAGAAGGGTAAAGCGGGAACTCCATACCCTTAGACGGAGAGCACAGGTAAGAGTTCATGGGAGCAAGAGCAGGGAAGGCAAGAGAGGCCTAGTGTTCTCCTCTTACTTCCAAAGGATAGTGGTGACATAATCTGATTCACAGGTGGGTAGATACAGGTGAGCGTACATGGGGGTAAGGGGGGGTGTGTGGCTTCCAGCTCATGACCCTAATCTAACTCCTTGACCAGTCCCATGTCAAAGGGGCTCTTGCGATTGTGCAGTGGCAGAAGTAGTCATGGGAGTCAGTGTAGCCTGGCCTGTTATGGGGGCAGGTGTGGGTACAGACAGAATACCACAAAGTGCTCTGTCTCTTCTACCGAATAGGCCAGCAGAGGCTCACCTTTCCAAAAGACTGCAAATCCTACACATGCCTTCAGGTTTGAGTCTTGTGGGGTCATTTGATTCTTAGAAGTAATGGTGAGGGCTGTCACTGTGGTGTAGTGGATAAACCTGCCACCTGCAGTGCCGGCATCCCACATGAGCACTGGTTTGAGTCCCGGCTACTCCACTTCCACTCAGCTCTCTGCTATGGCCTGGGGAAGTAGTAGAAGATGGTCCAAGTCCTTGGGCCCTTGTACCCACATGGGAGACCTGGAAGAAACTCCAGGCTCCTGGCTTTGGATCAGCTCAGCTCTGGCTGTTGCATTTGGGGAGTGAACCAGCGGATGGGAGACCTCTCTCTTTCTCTCTCTGCCTCTGTCTCTGTAACTCCATCTTTCGAAAGAAAGAAAGAAAGAAAGAAAGGAAGGAAGGAAGAGAGAGAGAGAGAGAGAGAGAAAGAGAGAGAGAAAGAAAGAGAGAGAGAGAGAGAAAGAAAGAAAGAAATCAATCAATCTTAAAAAAAGAGTAATGGTGAGCTGATCTGAACTGAGTGAAGAAGGATATTTTTACCAAGCAAAATCTGTTTGTGTAAACTCGCATTTCAGTTGTCTTTCTCATTTCCCTTTTGGCAGCCAGCATTACTGCTTGAGGACACGCTGCCACTCATCTCTGGGAAGCCCCAAATATTTGGTTTGTATCTGCATTCAGACAGAATCAGTTTCAAATTGTTTCTGTAGATACTAAACATAAATATTTGGATAAAACAAGTTATAAATCATGTAATTTACTCCATCATCTGGGGAATTATGAATATTTTCTTTGATGCATTTAAAAAATTATTGAACACTTACTTTGCAAAAAGTATTGTAGAATAAATAATAAGTGAAGTATAAGGGGAGACATCATAAACAAAAGACATGGTAATAGCCTTTTGTAACCTTCCAGATTAGTTGAGAGGTGAAAATATGAATGAAAATAATCAAACTTGTTAAGCATTTTTAAAGGAGAATGTTTTAAAGAAACAAAACTTTTCATCGTAGTAGAAGTTGAATATAAGTATGAATAGAAAACTTGGGGCATCTTAGGAGAGAGTGTAATGAAGTTAGGGAAAAGTATAGAATACTTAGATATTAAACCAAGTATGCAGTGAGACAACCGATGTGTGTTGGTAGAAAGGACTGGACCAGGAAGAAGGAAGGTTAGGTTCATACCTTGAAAGTTGTCTGTTTTCTAGAACTTTCCGGAGATGGAGAGCTTACATGATAATAATTTTCACAAATATGTGTGCATCTCTGATGAGTGGCTCAGTTGTTTCCAGTATTTGAGCACTGTATTTCAGTGACAACTTTTTTTTTTTTTTTTTACTATTTTTGGCATGTGTTATAATGGCATCTGATGTATACATGCACATACTTATAAATTTTGAGTTTAACACCAGTAGTAAACTCCTTGTTGTTGAGATAATGCTTTTTAGAATTCATCTCCTTCTTCTCTCACCTTTGGATGCTCTCCATGTTTTATTTAAAAGCTTGTCGTTCTGTTTACCATTTCAAGAACTTTAAAAAGACACTTTTTCTTGCTGCTTCTGTTGAAAAACTAAAATTCTGGAATGAGTGTCTTAAGAAGGAGTCTTCTGATCTGTTTTGAATATTTTTTGCAACAATATTTGATTTATCTCTTAATATTTTTGTAGTTTTATTTATTTTTAAAGGGGTTTGCAATCTAAAAAAATTTCTAAACATATTAGGTCTTTCCTTATCCATACACAGTGAAGAGCTCTTGGTAGTATATTTAGACATAATCCATTGGGACAATTAATTAGTCATGATGAAAAGGATTATTCTATGGTTTTGCATCTTTTTCATTCATATTGCCTCTTCCATGAGTTTAGTACCCACTTGTCCATTTATCCATCCTTCTGTTCTTTCGTTTACCCATTAAATATGCGTTAAGGATCTACCTTATTTAAGAGAAGGTGCTGGTGTCTGGACGGGGGAGAAGGGCCACAAAACTGAATAAATTGTGAGACTGAGGACTCTGAGAGGCTAGAGTGGAAAAAGGTTGCTCTCTGTAAGTGAGCGTTAAGTAATGTGCTTTAGGAAGTCACAGATAATAAAGAAAATTTTTCTACTTTTAAAGAGGTGGGAGAGTGTTTTGAGAATAATTTTGCAATGAAGCTGAGCTACTCAATCCTTGTAGTTTTGTGCTATTCCTTAGAATTTAGTAAAAAAAAATGAAGATATTTGTTCTTAGTTCAGAATGCCTAGAATATACTTAGATTTTTTCCAGACATTTTTAGTACTTTTGTTTGTAGTTAATCTTGTAGACATTATTAAGTACATATTAAAATGACAAGAAGTATTGTGGAGCCATCTGCCCACAAATCCACTCCTTTACTCTGGTTCTTACTAAGGAAAATGTGCTTGTGTTTCTGCGGGGTCTTTCGAGAGGTGTTTATTGTGATGTTTGCTCACTTTTCTTTCATTGAATATTGTACATTATTTTCAGGGGCAAAATCACCAAAGGCTTGGAGGATTTAAAGAGTGTTAGTCCTGTAGGAGAGACGTATATCCATGAAGGACTGAAACTAGTAAGTTCTTTTTCATTTCTAAGTGTGGGAGAGAACTGTTTCCTCTGTAGTGAAATGCAGTTCCCTAGCAAAGTGTAAAAGCCCATCACCTAGTTTTCTGTAGGCAAGTTTTTTTTTTTTTTAAAGATGCTTTTCATTGTGCTAAAGATGAGACTAGTGCAAAACAAGTTACTGTGGTGATTCGAATTTGGATGGCGTTTTCATTTTTAAGGAATTTTCAATTTTTTTTCAGTGGTTATGTTCAGATGAGGCCCAAAATCTATTATCATTAAAACACAATAGTAACTACTTTATCATGTGACTAAATGCATATTTCAGATAAAATAGCCAACACAAAATACCCTGTTTCAAAATCTAGTCAGTAGTATTTTGATTTTGTCCGACTTAAAAATTCAGCTTGATGGAACATGCTGGTTAAAAGTTAAAATTAAATTGTGAGTTGGATAATTATTCTTCATTTTCAGGCGAATGAACAAATTCAGAAAGCAGGAGGCTTAAAAACCTCCAGTATCATAATTGCTCTGACAGATGGTAAGTTGGACGGTCTGGTGCCATCATATGCAGAGAAGGAGGTGAGTATTGAACTGAAACTGTTCTCTCCACCCCACTGTACATGGATATGTGTCTCTGCATACATAGCTGGATATTTGAATAATTCGCTTCCGCTTTTTCTCAACAGGCAAAAATATCCAGATCCCTTGGGGCTAGTGTGTATTGTGTGGGTGTCCTTGACTTTGAACAAGCTCAGGTGAGCTACAACAGATAGGAATGCTTTAATTTAAATCACACACTTGTCTTTTCAGGATAGTTTCACCTGTTCACAATAATCACTTGTTAAAGGTTTTCTATAAAATGATATCAGTTTTTCTATAAAGTGGCCGTTTAATGAGCTCTACCTTACTAATATGAGAATTTTGATAGGCTTCGTGACCAAAAGTAAAACTGCATTTCTTGAACACTCTATTTGTTTTGAGGAATTAAAGTACACATTTGGATTCATTTGGATGAATTTGGATTGTTATGAATACTCCTTTAATCCAACAAACAAAATTATTATGTCAATTTAATTTAGAGTTTTTACTTTGATTTAATACCTGACTTGTAGGTGTAGAGGATTTGAGAAGTCCATTTAAGAGAAATCTTTAATAATTTTCTTTTGGAGAATTGAGTTTTCATGAAGTTTTGAGAGTTCTGCTTTTTTTTTTTTCACTCGCAAAATCACCTTATGTCTAAATTTTTGCTTGAGCCTGGGTTTGCCTCCTGAGTCTTGTGCCATTAGCAGCTATCAGAACTCTGTATTGTCCTGAAATTGCAGCTTGGGGCCCCATAAAGGGGTTTCACTGATCTCAGTGATTCATTTAAAGTAACACTGGCATCACCGCCCTCTCTCATTTCCTGACCTTGACCCCAGATCACACTGGCAAATGTATGCTGTGGAGTGATGTGTCAGATGGACCAAACTGAAACACAGTGGCTACGTTTGGGAAGTTTTATGTCTCTGCTGCATCCTAATTAAATTTTCTTCCTTTTTCCAAAGCTTGAAAAAATTGCTGATTCCAAGGAACAAGTTTTCCCTGTCAAAGGTGGATTTCAAGCCCTTAAAGGAATAATTAATTCTGTGAGTATATCCCAGGGGGACAGGAAAGGTGGATCATTTTATACATATTTTAACCATAAAAAGTAATCTTTATATGCAGCACAAATGGTCAGTTTCTAGAATAAAGAGATTAAGAAAGAAAGTGATTGGGTATCGCAAATGCAGCGTAATTTTGAAGATCTGGATTTTACTTGTAAATGATTTGGTGCTAATTCTTGCCTCTTGGGCTGTATTGAGCCTGAGTTTGTGATTTCATATTCATAACATTCTCAAACACTTCCTCCTTTGGAGCACAGAGTTAACTGTCTGGATACCTTGAAAGTGTTATAAACTTTTTAGAAGAAATGTACAATAAAAGCTGGGATTGAATACATGTTCCCTCCCTCCTCCAAAGATGGTTGTTCTGAGCTGCCGGGTGGGCAGCTTGAGCCAGTGGCTGAGTTTTCCACTGCCATTGTTGTTCTTTACATTGAAATGATAAATCGTTTCACTGGGGCCCATAACATTTCTGTTTGGAATTCAGTTGAGCTGTCTCTGGTGATCATTAGAATCTGGGCTCCCTGGAGCAGGAGATGGGGAAGGAGAGTGATGAAATGCAAAGCAAAACTCCTGGGCTTTCACAGCTGAGGTTTATGTTTCGTTTCACTGCCTTTTGCTAGAAGCACTATGAACAGTTGCTATTAAGTATTTATGATATTTTTGTAAACATCATCCTAAAATGGAGGTGAATAATGTGTATTCTCCAAGCCAAAGCATTTCCTTTCATCTTTAGGTGTTTATTAAAGGGGGAAAAATCTCAGTTTCTTCTAACATTTGGTTCTGGCATTTAAAATTTCCCTTTAAAGATTATGTCTTGCAGAAACAGAGTGAGATTTATTGAATTTGTTTTTAGTAGCATGTAGGTCTCTTAAAAAATAATGGAGCTTTTCAGAGAAGACATAATTTTGTTCCATTACATGTCAGTACTTCTAGTGGACAAACCAAATATAAATGCAGAATGGAAGAGAGATGCAAATATTCTAGGAGTTCATGTATATTATAGTGTTCAGTTTTTAGGAAGAAATTACAGTGTGAAAAATGATAGTTTTATAGTTGGGTTCAGGAAAATTGTTCTATAACTGTGATTTAAGTTTTGAAACACAGGACAAAGAATGGGTAATGCAAAAGTGTGGATAATTTGAACTACTAAGTAAACAAGTCAGCAGACTTTTTTTTTTTTTAAGATTTTATTTATTTATTTGAAAGGTAGAGTTACAGACAGTGAGAGGGAGAGACAGAGAGAAAGGTCTTCCTTCTGTTGGTTCACTCCCCAAATGGCTGCAATGGCTGGAGCTATGCTGATCCGAAGCCAGGAGCCAGGAGCTTCTTCCTGGTTTCCCTTGCTGGTGCAGGGGCCCAAGCACCCGGGTCATCCTCCACTGCTTTCCCAGGCCACTGCAGAGAGCTGGACTGGAAGAGGAGCAGCCAGGACTAGAACCGGTGCCCAAATGGGATAAAGGTGCTGCAGGTGGAGGATTAACCTTGCCTTTCCTGAAAGATGTTATGTAAATACATCTTATCTCATTGTTTGTCAGCATATTAATTTCCTTGAAGTTAATCTTTGAGAAAAATGGATAACATGGATTTCTTTGTTACCCCTCTTTGCCCCCACAGTGCAGTGACTTGTCCCTTTATGTTTAAGATATCCTGTGTTCTTAAAATGTTGTTTGTCTACAATCAGTTTCTTAATCAGCAGAGGTCAGGGTTTCATTTTGGAGACTCTTTGTTGTGGTTGGAAAAAAGAAGCAGCACTGTAGTAGTTCTGTCTTTTTTATTACTTAAAAATCAAGTGACTGGGTTCAGCATTGTGACATAGGATAAGCTGGCACAGTGCCAGTTCAAGTCTTGCTCGGCTTCTGATCCAGCTCCCTGCTGTGCTTGGAAAGGCAGCAGAGGATGGCCCAAGTACTTGGACTCTGTCACCCACGTGGCAGACTCTGACGGAGCTCCTAGCTCCTGGCTTCAGCCTGGCCTAGCTCCAGCCCTTTTAGTCATTTGGGAACTGAACTAACTGATGGAAGATCTCTTTCACTCTCCTCTCGCTCCCTGTCTCTGTAACTCTGCCTTTCAAATAAATAAATACTTAATAAATAAATAAATGGTTTTCTAAATCAAGTAAATTTTTTTTTTTTGACAGGCAGAGTTAGACAGTGAGAGAGACACAGAGAGAAATGTCTTCCTTTTCCGTTGGTTCACCCCCAAATGGCTGCTATGGCCGGTGCTGATCCAAAGCCAGGAGCCAGGTGCTTCCTCCTGGTCTCCCATGCGGGTGCAGGGCCCAAGCACTTGGGCCATCCTCCACTGCCTTCCCGGGCCACAGCAGATAGCTGGACTGGAAGAGGAGCAACCAAGACAGAATCCGGCACCCCAACCGGGACTAGAACCCGGGGTGCCGGCACTGCAGGCAGAAGATTAGCCTAGTGAGCTGCAGCACCGGCCTAAATCAAGTAAATTTTTTACATAGTATTAAATTGTTAGCATGCAGGATATTCATAACAAAGACTTTTTTCAGTCACTTGATTTTTAAAAAAGATTTACTTATGTATTTGAAATTCAGAGAGAGAGCGAGAGCGAGAGAGAGAGAGAGAGAAGAGATCTTCCATCTGTTGGTTCACTCCTCAAATGGTTGAAATATCTGAGATTGGGCCAGGCATAAGCCAGGAGCCTGGAACTCCATCTTGGTGTCCCATGTTGGTGCATGGACCCAGGAACCTGGGCTATCTTCTACTGCTTTCCCGGCACAATAGCAGGGAGCTGTATTGGAAATGGAGCAGCTGGGACTTGAACCAGCACCCATATGGCACCACAGGCGGGTAACCCTGCACCACAGCGCCAGCCCCTAGAAAATCATTTAAGCATTCTGTTTTAACTTTGGGGAAAAGATATTGTTTCAACATTTTTAGATTTTTATCCAGGCAAACATGATAAGTAACACTTTTTGGAATGTTGGTGTAATTTCCAATCTTCACAGCACATATGGAGGTTTATAATTCATTATTATCTCAAGGAGATACTTGTGAAGAAACATTTTCTCTTTTTCTCCCTTCTTTCCTCAATTAACTTATTCTTTCATTCACTTAACACAACACTCAAATATGACAAATTCTGTCTTCAAAAGGTTCTTAAAAGGATTGCTGATTCCAGGTTTGGAGTCTGTAAGGTTTGCTGTGGGGACTTGAAGGAATTTTTGTGAGTCACCTTCTGGGATAAAAAAGGACTTTGTGACAGAATTGGTGGTGAATGCCATGTGACTGGAGTGGAGGTTGGCCTGGCCAGAGGATAGGTTTGGTTTTATAAAATTATAGCAGACTTTTCATTGTAGGATTTGAACTGAGCTCTGCCTCTAGGAGTAGGTTTAAACAGAAGCAAGAATACAGAACTTCAAGAACAACCTGGACCGAGTGGCTGAGTCACAGGAAGAAATGTGGTTGGGCTAGGATTATGGAGAGTGGAGGAGGTAAATTGACACATAGTTGGATTCCAGATTATAGAGACCTTTACATACTTGGATAGGGGATTGACACTTAGTTCATAAACAATCGGCTAATCACAGAAGGTTGATTTAGAGTATGGGATTTCTCTGGTAGCATGAATGTTTAGGAGGAGTGTTCTCTTAACTTACAGGAGGATGTGGAAGTTGGGGAGGTATACGTATCTGGCAGTTGTCTTGTGAGATATACTAAAGGGAAACCTTATATAATTGGAGACAGTATGAGTTTGGGAGTAGGAAGACCTGCGTGTGAGTTTCAGCTGCTGTTGCCTAGGCACGAGACCTGCCTTATGTCCTGTAAAGTGGTTTCTCTCAAGGTTAAAATTAAACTAAATGGGATGATGATTTTCATTTTACTGAGCTGTGTTTTGAATTAAATGAGGTTAATTATTACCAGTGATCTAAGTCAAGAGCAGGCCTTGAAGAGGTTTGGTGGGAAACTAGGAGTGGTGGGCAGCTGTGAGTGGCAGAGCTAGGATGGGCTCTCGGATGTGTCTCCAGGGCAGTCCACAGAAGAGGTGGCCAGCAAGCCACCCGATCAAAGTCTTAGTTATACAAGGACACAAGGCACTGACATGTTAGAAGATCAGATTCAGCAGGGAGTTCAACAAGGACTTCTGGGTGGTGTTGCTACCCGAAGGCGAGCATTTGGGGTTTCCTAGTTCCAGACTCTCAGGCCATGAAATCAGGATCCAGGCAACAACTGGGAGACAACACTGAGTGTTCCCATGACAAAAGCAAAGTAGAATTTCAGGACCCCACATTCAGAAGAGAGCCATGATGCTTGCAGTGGGGAGGGTGGGGAACTTCCAGGACTAAGGAGGGGTTCAGAGTAGAAAGCCAGTTGTTAAAGAGGGAACAGCAGTCCTTATTTCAGCACTGGGACTCTGAGTCTTTCAGAATAAAACTAGGTCAAGGGCCATGAGGAGAGCATCTGATAAACTCTCTGCCCTATCAGAATTAGGTCAGAAGCAGGAAGGGGCTGAACCTCTAGGTATAAACTCCTGGTTTCTTGCTGAGCTCCGAGGGATATGGCAAACGCTGGCTGGCACATACTAGGTGTTGTTATTATCATGATGGAAGGGAGACCGGAAATGGAAAGGTAAATTTGGTGAGCACTACAGAACCAAGAGAGCCTCAGAGCTCACCATAGATAGGATTAACGGGACGGGAGGGCGGTGTGTCAAATGGAACTTGGCTGTTCTGACTGGTATGAAGAAGCGGGCGTCGACAGTGTGTTGATGCAGAAGGGGAGAGTGTTAACTGTTCCAGGTGGAGGAGGGCAGAGAGAGAGAAGCTGAGCTTGCCAAAAGAAAATCCCAGTGGGGGATGTCCCTTAGGGAGCTGGAAGTCTGGTGACAGCAACACACTTAGAAAACTGCAGAACTGAGTCATTGTTTCTCCTCTTACTCCTCCTCCCCTCCCACTGCCCACAAACCCAAGCATATACTTCTGTTTTTCACTTCAAATTATCTTTAAAACCATGGGCTGT